ATAAATCCTACCCTACATGTTACCATTTACAGATTTGTTTCTACTGTAAACAAACGGAAAGAAGCAGTATTAAGGCACAAAAGTATAAAAAAATTTGCTGCAATATATACTGTTCCACCGTAATAATTTTGTATAGCTACCTTTGTTGCTGTTATGATAGCATAACACATATGTCTCTATTCATCACCCATAAACAGTTTCTAGTAAATTCTCCATTACAATTTTAAAAATCTTTCGTGACTCATATTTGCACTATATGTAACATGTAACTTTTCTGCATTTGCTCATTGGCTGTTTTTGAAATGTTTTTAAGTAAATGTATAGTATACCCACACATATGCATATACCACTCAACTTGGTCTTGTTGAAAAATTGACAAACCAGGAAGATAAACTGGTTTTTCCCTCCCTCCATTCCCACATTCCATATCTATGAGTATATCCACACACAGTTATCACAGTTTGGAATGCAAAAAGGAATAATCCTATTTTCACCATTCCCCAATGTTCTTTTTATGCTTACCTCCTGGATTTCTGACTTTATCTGTTGATTTCTTTAGCCATTTACCTACTGATAGGTAATATAATCACTACTATTGCTGCCTCATAGGGTTGTCATAATATTTAAATGAAAGAGCACATCATAAACACTTATCAGAGAGCTTAAAATCTAGCAGATGCTCAACAAATTATTGCTCATGTGTTCTGGATATCAATAAGAGATTATGGGGCTGCCAAGATACACGTGTTCCTGTCGCTAAGAAGGTCATACTCTATAGTGGCACATAAACCGACTGATAAGGCAAAAATTATGTATCCGATCCATAATGGTGATAGGAACCAGAAGCAACCAGAAAGAAAAGAGAAGTACAACTAGAAAAACTAGGTGATGTGACTCTCTAGCTCTAAGGGAGGAGCTTTTTTTATTATTATTTTTTTATTATTATACCTTTTTTTATTATTATTTTGTTCTTTCCATTTCTGTTTTAGAAGTTTATTTTGACCTATCTTTAGGCTTACTCATTCTTTCCTAGGCTATGTTCAGTGGGCACATTTTAGGCATTCTTTATTTCTATTGCATTGTTATTGCATTATTGCTTCTTTTTATTCTTAGGAGTTTCCATGTCCACGCTTACATTACCCATCTGTTCTTGCATTTTTGTCTACTTTTTCTATTAGCAGTCTTAGTATGTTAACCAGTTTTAATTTTTGTTCTCATAATTCCCAATTTTGTCTGGGTTCTGGTGTTTGATTTGTCTCCTCTGATTGTCTATTTTGCCTTTCAGGACATCTTGTGAAATGTTTTTTTTGAAAGCCAGACATTATATATCAGACAAGTGGAATTTAGGTAGATAAACCTTAAGTATGTGAGTCTAGGTTTAAAGCTAAGAGTTGAACTGTTGCTGTTGCTGCAGCTATGGTGTAAAAGGCTAATACTTCCACTAGTGTCCTTGCCTTTGCGAGTCATGTTGTCTTCTTTGGATGTCCTCAGAGACTCTTACAATAGGGACTGAATTTTGTTTTAGTTTAATGCTCTTTCATTATGCAAGAGTCCTTCTGATGTGGTGGTAAGGCGAGGGAGCAGAGAAGTCTTCCACAGCCCTAAGATTAGGTCTTGGTTGTTTCAGTGAGACTAACTTGAGCATTTCCACAACCCCACGTGGAACCTGGCTAGAGTTGGGTATTTATTTCCCTTTTGAATGAAGGTAGTGGGTTAGGATCTGATGGTCTTCCTTGAGGACACAGAGCTCCAGGGGTATTTGGAATGGTTACTTTGCCCTGCCATAAGCAAGAGATTTTCCCTTAGATCTTCACAGTGAGAATCTGATAAGGTTCCTAGAGGTAAACTATTGAAAGTTGTTGGGTGCTGGGAGGCTGAGCCTCCTTGGGATTTTTAGCTACCAATCCAGTCTACACTGAGCCTCCAGCAATTCCTCAATTACAGTTACAGTGGTCCTCTCAAATTTGGATCCAGCTGTGATACTAGCTTCAGTTCCTGGGTTTCTATTCTTGATAAACTGTGCTAGTCTGATAAGCTGTAATTCTCTGTATCTCTGTCGATCTTGTTGGGGGGGCAACAATTTTCCTCATGACCTCAATTTCTGATGACCCTAAGAAGGGTAGAAGAGCTGCAGTTTTTTATTTGTGCAGTTGCTTTTTTTTTTTTCCTTATCATAGAGCATGAGAGTGACAATTTCTAAGCTCTTTATAACTTGGAAAAGAAACTGGAAATTCCTCAGCATTCAGTGTCTAGCACAATTGAAAACTGCTAGGATCAAATTTTAAGTCTACTTACATTATTCATAGACTCAAATATATGTACGTATTTTATTTTGATTCTTGAAAAAAATTTTTTTCAATGCCTTCTAACAACTTTCCTTCCAAATGGTACATGTTGCTTTGTTCTTATAATGAATAAAAATGATAACAATGACTACTGAACATTTTCTTTTAGCATTTAATACCATTTAAATGATTGACAGTCTGAAATGTTTCCACACTTTAAAAACTCAGTGCTCTGTATTATGTAGCAGTGACCCAAATTTTAAGTTTCTTTGCTGCCTCTTGAATGGTTAATTTTCCATTATATACCGGTTAAAGGTCAATGGATTCATTTGCACATAATCTTCCTGTTTCTGTAGAAAGTTTGGTAAAGTTAGTTGGAATGAACCATGGACACTTAGAATGATTGGAAAGCTAAAAAATAAGACTTTATCAAGATGCACCTACAAGGTAATAACTTTCATGCATTTGTTAGTATTATTGTAAAAATGATAATTTAAAACTTAAAATTTTTTTTTACAGGAAATTCAACTTTCAAGAATTCTGTTAACAGGATTACTCAAGATAGGGATATTGTTTGGCCCATCTGTAATTCTGTGACATCTAGCTGAAATACACAAGAAGTCATATTTCACACACTTTTGGAGAATTTGAATTTTGGGGCAAATTTAGTAAATATTCAAAATATCTTGTTGCAAGAATTATTCTGCCAGAAGCTTTAGAATGTATCAAAATGCTTTTAAATGACTCACATTTGTTATTACAAAAATGCTGATACTTTAAGCTCCCAAACATCATAGGTTTGGCTATCACCACTGACCAGAGAACTGCGTGTAAGTACAGTGAGAAGGGAAATAATTAAAAATACTTGCAACTAAGCCCATATATGGGGTGGGGGTGAGGGGAAACATGGAAAACAGAACATAGTACATTTGCATGAACATAATTGCCATTCATATATTCAAAATTGGTTAAATACTAGTAGAAGTCTAAGTTATTGTTACTGTGAGCAGAATAAATTTGGGGTGTATTGACAGAAATAACAGCAATAAGACTGCCAATAGTGAGAGTTGCCCATCAATGACTATGTACAAGTTAGAGTTTTTGTGTTACGTCTCTCTTTTGGAATTTTCTAGCACAGACCCTATTAACCCCATCTTACAAATGAGTAAACTGAGGTAAAAAGGTTCAATAACTTGCTAGGCAGTGGCAGAGCTGTATTCAAACTCATTCTTGATCCTGTGGCCAGCGTGCTTAACATTGCAGTTTGCAGAATACGAAAATGTTTATCATTTACAGTTGTTCTCCGTAAAACTTAAAAAAAGAAATCATGAGTAGCTATGATTTTTTTTTTCCGCCAGGCGTTTCCCATGGTTGTTCTGGCGTATACGTAGCATTTAGTGTTGCCAATCTGAAAACCAAAAATAGCATTAAGATCCACGTGTAACCGCATCCTTACGGTCTACTGACCAGCTAGCACGGCTTGCTGTAGGCAGTCAGACGCCCCGTTCTGTGGGCTGCTGTTGGGACATAACTGAATCCAGGCAGATACCCACCTATGACAGACAGGTGCCCTGAAACCACAGTGCCAGGCACAGACGCAGTGAAACAGCCCCGCGTCCACTGGAGAGGTGTGTGCCGGCTCTGTGGAGCTCACAACACGCTTTTCTTTTAAAAGACTGACAGGCTTGAATCGTATGCTTCTACAGACAGAAAGTGATTCAATCTTGACCCCATAGCTGGCAGTCCCGTCGGCCCACAGGCAGCCCTGGCCGCGGAATCCTCCTCGCCCCAAGTCCACGCAACTCCAGACGGTCAAACTATGGATCATCTGAATGCCCCCCGCCCCGCACCCCCCAAAACTGGTGCTGGCTTTTTCAAAAGCGTCAAGAACGCAGCCATAAACGTGAACCTAAAGCAATGTTTCCCACTTGCCCTGAAATTCAAGTTTATATTTTCACTCAGAAGAGAGCCGTGCCTACCTATGTGTCATTGACTTCCTTCGGGAAGTTAACGCGACTTTGGTGACTTTTTTTCCCCCTTGTGTTTACGTAATAATGCAACTCCGCTACAGAAAGAACTGGAGGACCCCCCGTGGGTACCCTCGCGCGGTGTGGCCGACCCGAGGCCGGAGTGACCGGGCAGGGAAGGACGGCGCGGCCGAGAGGCCCCAGGGTTCGCGGCCTCGACGCCAAGTCCGCCTCCTCCAGCTTGGAATTCAGCGGGGCCCAGCACTGCAGCAGGAGACTGCACCGAGAGCAGGAAATCCGCACGCAAGCTTAGGCCCCGGCATCCCGCGCCTTCCCCTCAGCAGCGCCTCCCAAAGCCAGCCGCCGACAAGGCTCGGGGTCCCCCCGCCAAGTCCCGGTCCAGCCGCACCCCCCGACTCCTTTCTCTCCACCCGCCCCCCGGCAGCACACAGACGAGCACGTGAGCGCCGCGGCCCGGCCCAGCTGGGCCTCAGCTGAGCGCCTCCCGATTGGCCCAGAGCAGCGTGGGCTGGGGTGGGGACTGGCCGCCTGCGTCGCTCGCCATTGGTTCTCGAAGAGCCTGCCTCCCCCTCAGGTGAGGCGGGCCCGCGAGCGCGCGCTGGGCTCGGCTGGCTGGCTGGCTGGCTGGCGCGCGCGCTCCCGCGCCGTCCTCCCCCCCTCCTCGCGCGCCGGGGCGCGCCTCCGCCCTTGCCCGTCCCCCCCACAGCCGCTGCCTCAGCTCGTCCGAGCACACAGAGGCGCCTCGTCTGAGGGGACGCGAGGATCGTCCTCCCCGCCGAGCGGGCCAGCGCTTCGGGCCGGGTCTTGTGACAAGCAGCTTAGCCGAGGGGGGTCGAAGCGGACCCCCTGCGACCGTCGCCCGCTGCTCCCTCGTCTGCTCTGGGCGAGGAGCTTCCCGCCTCGCACCACCAGCCCTCGTCCCCGCCCCACCTCTGGACTTGCTCTCTCTCTCTCTCTCTCCCCGCGTGTGGAGGGAGCCAGCGCTTAGGCCGGAGCGAGCCTGGGGGGGCCCGCCGGCCGGGAAGGCTTCGAGGGGAGCGAGTCGCCATGGAGGGCGCCGGCGGCGCGAACGACAAGAAAAAGTAAGCCCCTTGGCTCGGCCGGCCGCCCTCGTTCGTCGCCCGCTCGGGATCGCGGAGCCGGCCGCGGCGCTCTCGGGGAGGGGGGGGTCGGCCTTTTTGTCTCTTGCCTCTTCTCTCCTCTCCTCTCTCTTCTTCCCCCCCCAACCTCGCCGGCCGTGCTCCCCTGCTGCCCACGTCGCCATCTTGTCGTGGGGGGTGGGAGACGCCTCGAAAGTGCTTGCAGGGGCCGGGGTCTGCGTCCCGCCGCCCTTGCAGCCCGGCCGTCCGGGGAGCGAGGCCTTGCACCGCCCACCCCGCCGGCCTCGGGGACCCGGCCTCGCTCCGGGGCCTGATTCCACGGGGACACTCCGCAGCCTGGGGAAAAAAAAAAAAAAGCCCCGGGAACGGGCACGAGCCGCAGCTCGGCGCCGCCGCTCGCACCCAGCGCTTCCGCTCCCTCCCGCCCCGGTCCTCCCCAGTCCCGGGCAGCGGGCGGCCCCGCGTCGGGCCGCGGCTCCCCCGGTGGGCACGGTGGTCCCCGGGTCCCCCGGGGTTGGGCTCGCGTGACCCGCGCGATCGCGTCCTTCGGGAGTCCTAGCTGCGGCCGGGGGGGGGGGGTCGCTTGCCTTTGTGCCATGGGAGGGATGTGTGTGCCACGGCGGGGCCTTCGGATGTTAACTTTTTTTTAGTTTGCACGTGCAGATTTTGTTTCATTTTGTTGGGTTTGGTTTGAATCGCCTCGGAAAAGACGAACTTGCCTAGACTTGAGAAATCGGAGTAACGGGAATCGGGGTGGGGGGGTGGGGGGTGGGGAAGGAATAGCGACCTTGTAGGGGGAACTTTGGAATTGGATGCTTGGGTTCCCGTGGCTGGCTATGAGAGCGCAGTGGTTGAAAAGGAATGTGTGCCTCATTCATTCCCGAAAATATCTTAGTGACAATGTAGCGGCGGACTCGATTTGGACATACAGTTTTAGCGAGCGAAGGAAATGCAGCACCAAAATGTTGCAGTTTTTTAGAACTCTCCGTTTTCCCGAAATTGAACTATATTTAAAGGAAACCATCATCATACATACAAAATGCGTTGCAACTGAAAGCAAATGTATTAGCGTTGAGTGTGCGGCGGCGCCTTAGCAAATGATTCAGAATGGCCAGTGGATTTAGTGATGTCTGTTATCTCTCTCACCCCTTCATTTTTTATCCACTTTGGTATTATAAGCATTGAGGAAATAATTTTAAGGAATTGAGGATTTACAGTAGGTGAGCACTGGTCTGTAGACTGGCTTTGCTGTTAAGTCTTTCCACTCTTAGGGAGAGATTAACTTCTCAGCATCAGCAGAAGATAAACTTGTTTATATTTTTTGCTGTTTTGTAGGCTCCTTTTCTTGGTCCCTATTCAATGAACGCAAAATTTTCAGTTTGTATACAGCAAAGAAAGCACGGAACAGAATTCAAAACAGGAGCACACGCGTCTAGACTGAATTCCAAGAGTTAACCAGGAATTAATTGCAATTAATTCTGCAGATGTGATTACAGTGCTTTTGATGAAATGAAGAGGCTGCTATATTGTAAACCCAAGACAGATTACCTCTGTGTAGTGCCAATTTCCATCCTTATTATACACTGAAGCATATTAACAAATACATTAAATTATGTACCAGTCACTTCCTTTTATATGTAATATTGTACTCACTTCTTCTTTGTTGTTCATCAGTTAAGAATGTCAGAAGCCACTTGAAAAGTGAACGAATGAATTGGCAGCTACTGTGTATTGCTCCAGTACTAAATGGGTTCCTAGCTTTTCCTCACCCCCACCTGTTATTTCCAGAATTTTCTCCTAACCAAAAGTTCATTTGAATTCACTTAATCACTTGGGATCACATATAGTCATAATACATAGTATTGGGATTCTTAATATAACAGAAAAATTCAGCTAAACAATAAATAGTGATTACTCAGCAACACTGAGAAGCTGTTATAATTTAAAATATCCTTACCTAACCAGTATTTCTAGAAGTTTTCTGAAAGGTAGCTGAGGTGGAGGTGGGGTTTTTCTTGGAATTTTTCCATTTTAAAGGACAAGAAAGAAGCTCAAGATCGGAGTAGAGAATAGCCTGGTCCTAATTTAACTGGGCGTTTCATGCAGGGGCTGGACTTGCTGAAAGCACAGCCTGTGATACAGGATTTAGACTGACGAGGAATGTTAAGGGTTTCTCTTTCAGGCTTCAGGCCAGGACCCTTCCTCTTAGAATAAGCGTTTCTAAATCTGCTTCTTCCACTTGGGACATTGGGAGTCGGGAAGCTATCTCCTGTGTTAGTGAACTTGTTGCTACAGTTTGACTAACAAACTGCAGCACGTGTTGAGGTTGAATGTAGAATCTTACAGGCCCAAATCCCTGAGTCGGAGTGCCAGCTTTTCCACTGAAGAGCTTGGGCAAGTGCTGGGTGCTTCTAAGCCTAGCTTTTCCTTTAGATGACAAGAATAGCAACTGTCTTAATGGTTAACTGAAGGTTAAGTGAGATGATGCATGTAGACACTGGCCAGCTCTGGAGTGGGAGTCTTGGTAGCTGTGTGTGTTCTTCAGAGCAGATGGTACCTGTTTAGGTTCTAGTTTGAACTTCTATCACACTTAAGGAACTTCTCTCCTAAGTCCTTTTAATATGTCTTTTTATTTCTTTTTGGACATTTCTTAAATCTACTAAAAAATGGAAAGACTCACATTGGATTTGGGTCTTGCAAAGGGTTGCAGTTATATCCTGGGTTATGTTGGCGTTTGGTGTCAGTTCTTTTTCTTGAACATCTTGCCTATTCTGCAGTTTCTCGCTCTGTGTATTCTCCCTAAATGCTCCATTTTGAATTTACTCTGGGTGCTGCAGTCAAGACAAATTGAACAAGTCATGCTGTTCATTTCCATAAAGCACTGCAATTTTAGGATTGGCAGAAACTTAAAAACATTATTGTCTGGATGCCAACATTTAGAACATATGTTTTTTTTTTATAAATATTAATCCTTGTTAAAAATAGTAAGTTAATAAAATACTCTGAAGTAAAGCACCTATGTGGTGGCAAACTGTCCTTATGAATTTCTCTGGAGTTAAGCCTATCGGCCTCCATTTCAAGGCAACACTTCAGAGCTGTATTTTTTCATCCTGTTTTTGTGGTTTGATTGTATGAAGTGTATATTAGCACACACTTCCATGAGCATGTGTTTATTGAACATGTTTTAGACAATAAAAATGTTGTGGTTCACTCCTACAATCCACTGGAAAGTTCCTTGTCCAGCTTGGAGACGGGCCAGTGTTCTTTCTACCTGGCTAACCTCGCTTGTGTCTGGCTATGTTGGTTTCTGGGCTTGGGATTTAAATTTTGAGGCTAACATTTTGTTGTATGCCAAGAATGCTCTGTAGAAGGCTGAGGAGAATTGATCTCTTGAATGATTTATTTTCGGAAGAACTTAAAATAGTATATGATGTTTAGCAATAAAAGAAATCTGCCATGAGCAGATGTTAAAGATTTCAGTTAGAATATTTTAACTTGTCCATAGCTGAAAAATGTTTGGTTCCTTGGAATACTGTGTCCCTTTCTTATCTAAGATCGTTATCATAGTTCGTTCCCTAGTCGGGAGAGAATAATCTAATTTTGAATATGTTGTTGGATTGGGTCCTATCAAGAAGTTTGAACTCACAAGGAAAGATTCTGCTTTTTGACTTCTTGGGTGGTTGGTGGCTTTTACTTAGCCTTCTGCCGTGTGTATGTTACGGTATATGTGTGGTGTGCTTTTCTGCTTAACTCTGGAGTGCTAGAAAAAGAATTCGGGACTAAGATGAGCTAATCTTACTGCTCAGTATGTTTGGTAAAAACAAAGTTGAAATTTTTGAATTATAGGTCTCAGAATTTGAAAAATAATTACATCCCTCATTTCTTCATAAATTAAGAATGAACTGTATGTATTGTATCACTTTATGTATTCTACTGTAGATATTCAGAAACCCATATTTATATAATTCTTTTAGAAAGTCTACTATATAGAGCCCTATGCAGTGGCTCCGTTGGCTAATCCTCCCCTATCAAGTGCTGGTTTGTGTCCTGGCTGTTCCAATTCCCTTCCAGCTCCCTCCTTGTGGCCTGGGAAAGTGGTGGAGGACGGTTCAAAACCTTGGGCTCCTGCACCCACATGGAAGACCAGGAAGAAGCTCCTGGCTCCTGGCTTTGGATCAACTTAGCTCCGGCCTTTGTGGCTACTTGGGAAGTGAACCAGTGGATGGAAGGGCTTTCACTAGTTTCACCTTCTCTTTCTAAATCTGCCTTTCCAATAAAAATAAATATTTTTTAAAAGACAAATCTAATATATAAGATGTTTTTAAAAATAAAAATGAAAATATTTCCTCATGATTTCTCACTCCCCATAGCTTTTGAGGTGTTATTTTTCTTAAATTATTGTGGAAAACACATTAATGTAGAATTTTCCAGCTTAACCATTTCTGAGTATACAATTAATAGGTTTACATATACTTATATTTTTGTATGATCAAACCTTAGAACATTTTCATTCTGTAAAACTGAAGTATTAGGGCCCAGCAGCGTGCCTAGCGGCTAAAGTTGAATGCACCAGGATCCCATATGGGCGCCGGTTCTAACCCTGGCTGCTCCACTTCCCATCCAGCTCCCTGCCTGTGGCCTGGGAAAGCAGTCCAGGGCAGCCCAAAGCCTTGGGACCCTGCACCCGTGTGGAATACCCGGAAGAAGTTCCTCCTGGCTTCGGATCGGCATAGCACCGGCCGTTGCGCTCATTCGGCAATGAATCATCAGACGGAAGATCTTCCTCTCTGTCTCTCCTCCTCTCTGTATATCTGGCTTTCCAATAAATAAATAAATCTTTAAAAAAAAAAAAACTGAAGGATTAAACAGCTCCCATTTTGTTCCTCTGCTCAGACTCTGGCAACATCATGTTATTTTTCCTTTGTTTAATGGAAAAGGCAGATCAGACTTTGAGAAGGAGAGACATAGATAGATCTTTCATC